TGGGGCTGTTCAGCCTGGAGAAGAGAAGGCTCCGGGGCGATCTTATTGCGGCCTTCCAGTACCTAAAGGGGGCCTACAGGAGAGCTGGGGAAGGACTTTTTACTAGGGCATGTAGTGACAGGACGAAGGGGAATGGCTATAAACTGGAAGAGGGCAGGTTTAGATTAAACGTGAGGAAGAGGTTTTTCACTCTGAGGGTGGTAAGGCACTGGCACAGATTGCCCAGAGAGGTTGTTGAGGCCCCATCCCTGGAGGTGTTCAAGGCCAGGCTGGACGTGGCCTTGGGCAACCTGGTCTAGTGGGAGGTGTCCCTGTCTATGGCAGTGGGGTTGGAACTCAATGATCTTCAAGGTCCTTCCCAACCTAAACCATTCTATGATTCCTGTCAAAGCAAGGGGTGAAAGAGACCTTAATTCTGTGAATTATTTTAATAAAACAGCACTGCCTACATGCATTTTGTTAGTCACACAGCCAATTACTAATATTCTGGCAACTACAGCTCAAGCTAATATCGACAAATTCAGTGTCTAAAGTTAAGGATTAATACAAGCCACTTACATGTCATTATGCAACAGGTATAAAGCTAGAAGTTGGCCATAAACAAGGGGTGTTGCAATTCCTCCAGGGGCCTAAAAAGGAAGTACAAATAATTTGGTTACATACTTTAAGAGCAAGATGTCTACCTGGTAGATTTTGTACGATATGTTTAATGAGATCTGAATATTTCAAGATAGCTGACATTTTTCACATCACATAATTGGTCTGGATCAATTGTCAGAATTCCAATGTTATATTAATACAGTTGCATCTTATGATAAAGAGTTAACTTGCACATCCCAGAAGTTTTACTCAGAATACTTGGTTTGTTTTGCTGCATGAATAAAGTAAGGTTTCATCTTTCATTACTGCAATCTACATTTGGTGATGAAAGTGGTAACCATCTTGCTTTACAGTTCTCACAAACAACTGGTTTTACACACTCACAATTTCATCTATCTTGAGCTGAACTTCAGTTCAATTCAGGGCACTGCAGTAGAGTAAAATTTCTTTGCTCACTTGAACCGCCCTTTTTAAAAATCCAAAGTAGGCTTTGACACTTGCCATATTTAAGCAGACCTCACAAATCATACAAGTAAAAAAAAAGAATTATGATAAAGTTATACAATTTTGAAAGTCCATAATCATTTAAAAGCTGAAAAGATTTCCAATCAGGTTTTAGAAATTTATCAAAGGATAGTGCAGCAAGCACTCACAGGAAGCCAATTATGCAGCTGTTTGATCTAATTACATGTGTGATTTATAGGCTCATCTAAGCCAAAAGCAGGTGATTAGCTGTGTCATCAAGCAGATATCATTATCCCAGCTATTCTTCTTCTGTTTCCAGTGCTCATCTTCTACCTACAGATACAACAGTTTCTGCAATTGTTCCTTGGATTATGCCCACTAAAACAAAGCTAGGTCAATTAATACCTCCTGTTTGAACTGTACAAGTTCACCTTTGGTGTTTCTCTGTACTAAGTAAAAGAAAAATCATTATTTTATCTGACAGAAGACTAGTGGAAAGCTAACTACCACCAAAACAACTAGATGTACAATCTACAGCCTTACTGAAGGAAGCTCTATTGTTGCACCTAGCCTGCAAAAAAAAAAAAAAAAAAAAAAAATCAGCCTACATATCAACTCATGACTTGAAATATAAAGGCTGCCAGCAGACGTTAGTATGCCCACAAAATCTCAATATGGATGCAGACACACACAGCAAATAACTTACTGGCTTTGTCAAAGCATTTGGGAACAGTTTGCCAGGAGTGTTCCTGTTGACATTGACTCTAGGAGACTGCTGACAGACACAGCAGAAACCTTGAGCAGAGGACAGTTTAAGTTCAGTGGCTTTACAACAGCCCCTAGGGACCCGCTGAGGTCCAACACCACACACACTGCAGCAGGGAAGTGAGGAGGATATGTTAAACATCTTCATATGGCCATGGAAGTAAAGCCCAAAGCCTGCTGGGCTCCATCCCTGTCACTCAGAACTCAGCCTGACACAACCCTCGCACTACTCCACAGAAGCCAAAAAGATAGCCAAAGGCATTACAAGTCAGTTCACACAAACTCTCAACCAATATTTTGAAGCTTGTTCATCTGATGGGAAAAAAGGGAACTCCATTTACAGAAATACAGTGTATAAAAACAAACATCCCCTCACAGTAAGCCATTAAATGACTGTTAATACATGCTGTAGTCACCATCTCATAACCCTAAGCATCCCTCTACCCATACTTGCCTAATACACACCTTAGCACTAACTGCTGTAGACATGTGCTCCTCTAAAGGACAGGAATACACCTTCAAAGGGAGTACTAAACTGCTCCCAGCAGGAAGGGCTGGCCACACTCAACTCTCCCACACGGTACAAGGACACTCTTCTGCTCCTCTATGCTCAAGTCCATCATTTGGGGCAGCAGCTAGCTCATTTCCAGCACAGCAATCTCCCTCTAGCTCTATAACCCTCTTCTACAGAATTCAGGGCATACCAAGAAGCTGCAGCACCATGACAAGGACATGAGAAGCACCTGGGCTCAGCACAGATATAGTGCACAGAAATATCAACTGAAGCTTGATTATGCAAACCCACAAGTAGGGACTCTTTCCATTTAAGGATTATATTTTCCACTGTAAAGCCGTGCGGTTTGTCAACACCAAAGTTCTCTGGTGGCAAGTGATCACACATTGGGAAGAGCTCTTTCCCTTCAATTGCTAGGGTAGCAAGATCTAAAAAACAGAACCACTAAAGACTGCATGAAAAATGAAAATTCAAAATTCTCCCTTATTTCAAAGGGTTACAGTGGGATGTGTGAGCTTCACACTTAGAAAAGCACTGGAAACTCTGCAAGATGAGAAAGGCTCTATGGATATCACCCAGGAAGAGCTTTTAGCATTAACATGGCACTACTTGGATTTACTACAGGCTGGAGCCTAGCACATCAACAGTGCATGCACTCAAGACTTAAACTCACAAAGCAATAAACTTTAAAATGACACAGAGGAAGCTTCCAGCTCCTGTAACACGTGCATTACTGATTTAAGAGTAATTCAGTGCCCCACTCCCCTTTTCAATACCTTCTTTTTCTCAACCACGAGACACACAGAGACATATGAGCTTCTCTCTCACTCCCCCTTCCAAAAAGACCCTACCATTTATACTGCAATGCACTTATTTATTTGCCTGCAGTTTCAAAAGTTTCTGAAAAGCTTTTTGGCAGGCTTTTGCACAAGCGGCAAGTTTAAATACCGAACGCTCCCCAAGCTCACAAACCCACACAGGCACACAGCCACGACTATCTTCTGGTCCTTATAGAACCGACGAGACTCTCAAAACAGCACTTTCAGGCAACAGTCTCTGACCCACACCGCATCCCGCAGCGGCTAGAAACGTTCGTGCCCAAACCCACCAGCGCTGCGGAGCGGCATCGAGCCCCGAGGCCACGCCGGAGCGCACGGGGCCTCAGCCAGGCCCCCGGCACCCCCGGGCCCGTCCCCGCAGCGCGCCCCCC